TATATATAAGGAATAATAAAAGCAATAAAAAATCAAAAATGAGTTTGTCATTTCATTTATGTTATTTGAAAAACTATATTTACATTGGTACATTTTTTCGGAGGGGGCTACTGGAGCTACAGATTTTCTAAGCTAAATTACTTTGTTTTGTGTGTGTGTGTGTACAAATGAATTTTCATATATTGGTGAAAAGGTGGGAACAATTCAGGACAGCAGACAGTACATACGCTTATGCAGCAACAACAAATACTTATGCTTAGGAGGAGACGGGAGAGAAGTGACCACTCGCACACATAGACATACATATTTACATAAAAGGTTATAGAATTTGGAATATTCTTTCTGATTGTAGGATTGTGGATATTTCAAGGAGTTGTCGACCAATTTTCCAGGATACATGCGTTTTGAGTGCATTTCACACACAGACACACACAAGTGTAGGATTGATGTAGTTGTGCGAACGTCAAGAAAACGGAAATGATACTTGCAATAGGTTATAGAGTAGCTTTCTACTTCACCAACAAATACTGTGGAAAATTATGTATTTCATATATTTTATTTGTATGTTTCATTACCTTAAGGTCAAGACAGTTGAGACGGCGTGATACATTTGATTTGGACGTGGTTGACTGGGTGAACAGATTTTGCAATAAACGATTTGCCGTAGGAATATTGGTTTGTTTAATTTTTTTTGTTTTTTTGGAATTGTGTGATTTTGCATGACAAAATTATTTCAGAAACGTTTTTGTTGATTTTTGATTTGATTTGCGGTTCGGTTAAGGCAATGACAAAAATGTATGCAACAAAATCATTGGATTATTCGATGTGTTAAATTAATTATGTTGTGCCCAATAAAGGAATAAGTAAAATAGTTTTATTCTGTTAATAATAACTGCTTATAAAATATTCTAACACTATGGCAATGGATATTTTATCAAGTACAGTATTACTAAAATAATATTAGTTTAAATAATATTTATTTATATTGCTTAACTGCTAACTACAATTTTATTTAAATAACTTAATGCTAACCGAACATTTCAGCCTTGGTAATTTGCATTTTCTAACCGTCTATAATTCAGTTAGCTTACGATTATGTCGTATTTTAAGACAAAATAGTCCGAAGCTCAATCTTTCGGCATTTCATCTTTATATGAAATGAATTCCCACACCTGGTGAATGCAAATGAGGTTCGTTCGTTCAGCGCGAAATAATTGCTCGGCAAGCCACGTTGCATATTCGCAGCACACGTATGCACTTAATTGCTGTTCTATTTATTGTTGTTTTGTTGTTTTAGCTGAGCTTAGCGGCAAATCTACCGTTTGGAACATTTCACGATTACACCTATCCACTCAACTCGGTGCCACTAATAAACCGTAATTAAAAGTGAAAGTACACAAGTAAGTCAATTAGCTAACGGTACTTAAGTGAATGCAATGGTTGCTGCTTTATTAGCTGACCTCTCACATGACTCCTACACATACGTATCTGCACGCCCAGGGTATAAAATGGGGATGGGTGGCCCTAAGCCATAATCACCGAATCGCCACACATGCAGGTCCCTAAGCATATTATATATTTGGCCGTTTAGGGCGGCGCTCAATCAGTGCGTTTAGTCGTATGTAGGAATAAAATTTACCTGAATGCATATTCCGTGACGCATAACGAAACTCGTCAGGAAGTAAACTTTTGAAGTCTAAAAAGTCTTTCAGTACAAACAAGCTTCTGCTTTCAAATTCAAGGTATTATGTAATGATTTGTTGGAATAAGCGAAGTAAACCCTAATGTGGGCAAAAGCAAGGTTTCCTTTCGTATGTTGTTATAAATTTAAGTTACAACAACACGACACTTACTTATGCATGCAATGTGACACGCAAGGCAATTTGTCACTTGGGTTTTGCCGGGCTTACCTGTCGTATACGTAACACGTACGCGCGCTCGCCACAGAGGCGCGACCTATCGTCGAGAGTATTGACGTCGCAGTGCCGTTGCTTGACCTTAAACCGAAGGCGCAGTTGATTTAGTCAATTGTTCGCGTGAATTTCAACCAGCAAAAACAACATTCGCCATGCAACATTTGTGTGTGTAAAAACAGTGATGTACTTAGTTCCGAGGGCACACAAACACACACACATATGGGGAAAACTAGTTTAGGTATGTATTGTTTATTGTTTTTCTGCTGCAAAATAAAAGACACGCGAGTTTCATTCATGCGAAAAAATCGCTGATTTGGGCGAATTGTGAGCACCCGTTTTTTCAGGTTTTTCAGGTGAAGGCATATGTCAGTTTTACTGGGCTCTTTGTGGATTACTTGCTATATGTAGTCACACGACAAAGATTTTGCTGAAGATCCGAAGATAGTAAATAGACCCCACCATTTCTCCCACTCGCTTGCAATACCTTCAATAAGGAAAAGCTAATAATTATTTACTCCATGGTCGAGATATGCCAAACGATGAAATGCATCAATTTTGTGCGATTTTCATAGCCAAAAAATCGATAATGATAAAGAACTTATGTCCTGCAGATGCAGGAGCAAATGCTTGCCAACATGCCTTCAAATCACAAAAGTTGCTGAAAACCTGAAAGCTGCGGTCGGTTGAACCGCAAAGCAAAGGCAACACTGCACAGTTGCGGGGACGGGGACGGACAAGCAAAGGTCAGATGTGGGCCAAAGTTGCCAAGTAAATTTTTTGCCAAAGTGAAAAGCTCTCGACACACATCCGCCTGCTGCAGAAAAATGCACAAAACAAAGTTATTTGAATTTCAATCGCCAAAGTGATGCCGCCACAAACAACTTCTCATTTCGCAATGCGGCGAGGCGGCAAAGCAACCGCATTGAACTACTCATTAGTTAAATGTAATATTTGCAACATTTCCCCAACATTGCGCCGAGTTTTCTTCCCTTTCGCTTTTGCGCTCGCTGACATCAAAGTGTCGAGCAATTGTTGGCATGTGTCAAAGGCAGCGGGCAGAAGTGACGTTGAATGAAATATTTACTGCGCCGTGGATTGAATGGCAAACCCGCAGAGCGTCGTGCGCAATTGCAATAAGCAGAGATTTGCAAGGCGAAAACAGGAATAATAACAACAATGCAAGTGATAGGCAAATGTTTATCTGCAAACGCATAAGTGCGCGTGTGGCTTCGTGTGCCTATGGCTGCAATACTCAAGGTGCTTTCAATATTTTGTCACATTTTGCCACATATTTAGCATCTGCCACATTCTCAAAGTTGGCGGCAACACAGATGGTTTTCATTGTTGCAGTTAGCTGTTGATGCCGCTTGGCAGGATATTGCCGCAGCGAATGCACTCGACACAAAAGCGGCATGTTTCGCTCTGCAGCGCCAATCAGCGTTTCCATCGAGAATTTTACTTTTTTCCTGCACTCTGAAATTACATGTGCCATATCGTCTATTTCGCTATGATTTGTTTGCTTTGAAGCGGTAATCTTTCCACCACTCGGGCTGTGGTGCTGATATTGGATATGCTCAGTGAAAAAGCGGCATTTCGTGGTCAGCACACGAGTATCGGCCGTTGCACCTCGCCGCTTAACATACTTTCAGGCGTTCAATGTGCTACCCAAACACACTCATCAATGGACTGCGGCGGCGGCGGCTTAAAAATAATAATTTTCCATTGCAAATTTCACATTTCAATGATTACATAAGGCAAAGCAGCTTCTGCTTATGACTCAGTAAATACATGTGAAAAAAAAATGGGCGAAAGCCACATGCCACATGTCTCATATGTGTGTGTTTGTGTGTGCCGTTATGCCGGTCCCCGTATTGGTTGGTGGCTTCCCGACTATCGATATGCCGTCACCATTTTGTGTTTTTCCTTTTTCAAGGCCTAACTGGATGTGTAGGCGCAAAATTTTGCAAATGAAAGATTTTCAATGCACTTGTGTGTGTGTGAGGGGTCGGTGTGCAGCTCAGTATTTGTGTGAAGCATTTATATGCATTTTTCAATTTTTTGCAGCATTTAAATTTTTATGTAACATTTTCTGGTTTTATTTCCATTTTTATTTTTATGTTTTTGTTTGCATGCCGTTATGAAGCTTGCATTTTGAAATTCCCTGACGCGGCGCCAAACGACCGCAATCAGTGCGAGTGCTCATCGGCCGTTCGGGGAAATCATTTAGTGTGAAATGCAAGTTTACTCGTACGCCCCGCGCGGCACTGCGTTCTACAGCGATGCTTGAGTGTGTGTCGGTTGCGGCCGCTGCTGCTGATGTTGCAGCTCTGTGCCACAAACTTTTAGATAACAATTTTTACTCGGTAAACTATTGAAATATGCAGCTGCTTGAATAATTTCCAATTTTTCTACAGAGTAGACAATTTTTATCTATTTTGTGGGCCTAGTTAGTTTTTAACGAGCAACCAACCGAACAAAGTTTATGCAGGCAGCATACGGATGCACCGCTTCGATTCTTACCGTTTCTCATTTAACTGTTTCACAGCTGTAGCTGAGTGCGTGACTAGCAACCGATGGCTTCAGAGTGGAGAGTCGCATCACAGTAAATTTTCTTATTCATAGCTTGTAAAATAAATATGTAGAGAGCATTCTTTGCTTATAACCGAGTTTAAAAAAAAAAAAAAAAAAAACCAGTGATGTGTTCGTCTAACTGGTTATCAGCATCACTGGTCAGCTAGTCACGTGTAACTTTTTTTTATTATAATATTGTTTATTATAATATTGTTAATTATACCCAGTGACATACTGAGGTGTCCAAAATTCATACTTATTATAAAGCTTGATAGACCTACGTAATTACTTCTATTCCTAAGTACAAATATACAAAGTCTTTTTATAAATGTGTGCAACAGTCTAAAAATTGTCTCTTATTATTATATAACACTGTAGTTTGGTCTAATTTAGTTTAGAAATACACGTGAGAAAAGTCTGTGCTTTAAGCTGTATTTCGCCCTTACTCTCTCAAAATGTTCGTGTGGCGAATTTGTGTGTATTATATACAGAGAGTTCGATAAATAAACTCACCTATCGGCGGGTGCTGAACCGGAAGCCGGCTTTAGGCTTCTAAATGCTTTCAGCCACTTTGTTTTCATCGATGGCGCGGTCGCGGCTGAAAGTTTACGCTCGGCGCGTGGCGAACCCGGATCAACTTTGCTCACGTACAAATCTTTCTGCAAGTAAAAGAGAAAATTATACAATTAATGTCTGTAAGTGCGTCATATATTTTCTTTTTAAGAAACCAAAAACAACGCCTTGAGTTTTTCGAAGAAAATATCTAGTTTTTTACACTGAGCAACAGTTCTTTCAGAAAGGCTTTGAATAAGCGCGTGTTTTTTAAACTCAGATCTCTTGTCTTCCTTAGCAAAGGTGTTTAGTAAACAGAGCTCGGCTGACAATAACGCTTTTTGATTTGGATAAACACAAGATTTAATTTCCATAACCTTTTCTGCAATGAGCATCCGATTTAGTTGCTTTCTCTATTCCAGCTCCACCTTTAACTTTCCATTAGTTAGACAACTAAAACTCCATCTTTCATACACAACTGTAGGCTTTTTCTCGTTGATATGCCATAATGACAAGCAACTTATTTCATGGCTAATATGGATATCTGAAGCTAACCCTGCCCTAAGCCTAAAAATACAAAAAATCAGTGATCAACGTAATGCCAACGCAGGGAATTATAATTTATGTGTGAAAATTTGGAATTGTGCTCATTTGCTCCACATTTGTATTATAGTAAGTAATATTGAATATATAAATATATATGTAATTACACTGGCGTACAAAGCTGACAGTGGCCAACATAATTTCTCATGATGCATCAACACAGCGTTTAATATCCTGCTGCGGAGTTGACGACTGAGTAAACACAAAAAATAACTGTGAAATATTTTGAAGAGAAATATATAATATAATAATTGTATATATAATATAATATTATAACATACTTTGCGCGCAAAGCAGAGCATGAAAACCCATTTGACAGTGGCGGGAATGGGTTGCGCTGCACTCCGAGGTCGTGGAAAGAGGACCAAGGGGAGCCGAATCGCAACCACAGAATTGACAGCCGACAGCTGATGAAAATGAACGAAGGAAGCAAACTGCCAGACTGACGTATGTTTAGCGGAGCATTTCACAATGGAACACATGAGTTCGACACAACTGGCAAAAAAAAAAAAAACTGTCAGGCAACAAAAAAATCAAAATCATTTAAGAACCGCTGTGGCTGGTAGGGAAGTGAAGCGCAGTAAAGTGCTTTATAGACAGTAAATTTTCACGACACTTAAATTACAACACATTGCCCTTAATTGGCTTTCACATATTTACAGTGCCGGCGGCAGTTGTGACATTAGGCAGATAGATCTTACAGGAGCTGATATTAGATAGCTTTAGTTTTGTTGCTAGAAGTCGAAGTTGTGTTGTTGTTCTAGTATTTTTGATTCCTTCATGAGTTGGAGTTGGATCTGAAAATTTGTTTGGGAGTTAGTCAGTAGCTGGATGTCCCCCATTTACTAATTATAGACGAACAGCTCCAAAATCCGGAGTTCAGAATTTGTGGAAACAGAAACCTTAAAAAATTATTGCAGATATTGATGATGTATTGAGTTTGTCTCTGCTATTTCCAATGCTTTTTAATTTTCACTGTTGTTGATGCGGTAAAATGCTCTCACCTAAATCGTTTTGAACGCTCTTTTAGGGCTCGATGCTTGCTAACAAATCTCCATTTGATTTGTGCTGTACATACTGGAAATTCCACAGAATCCACCTGCCAGCGAGCCAGATGCCATCTAACCACAATACTCAAATTCAATACCCTTCCATGTGAATGCATTCGATTGTCTATTCGTATGGTAAATTTCATTATATTCCACACTATTCCCGACCGCATCGCCTTCGTGCGACTGCACTGCACATACCGACGCCTCCATGCAGGCTCTATGGAGGGACCGGTTGCTGCTCGCTCGTTCACGAGCTTCACCACAGTGAGCATTTCGCGCACGGAAATTGAAAAGGTGGTCAAGTGAAAATAATTTGGTTACATTACGAATTCAATCAACTGCAAATGTCGCAATCACCACTATATGGTTTGCACCGCATGGAATTTGTATATGTGTGTGTGTGCGTCGTTCATGCGGCTCCTAGATGTGCGCTGGTCAATGAATGAGTGTGAGCTCCATGAAATTGTTGAGTGTGTTCGACAACATAGAACGATTTCATGGAGCAGGAATTACTAGCATTGCCGACATTTATAGCCGTTTTACAATTCACTGAACTTTTGGTAGTTCTATCAAGTGCCTAACCTCAAATAGCTGCTACAGATAGAGTTGGTACTCATCTAGGCTTTGTTGTATCGTGCTAGTTTGGCTCTGCAAACATTCATGTCAATTATTGATGCAAGATCTGTGGACTACTTCGCATATATAAATACCGAATGGTTTTGGGCCTCTCTTATAACAACCAAAAAAGCGACCTTCAGTTCTAATGAAATATAAACATTAAGAAGTCAATAAAAATATCTCAAAATGAAAGCAATGTGTTTCTGTTGTCATGTCCAAAGCGATGCTTGTGGTTTCGGATGCCTCGACTTCATTGTGCTTGTCAGCATTTAATTGCTGTTGTTATGTACTTCCCACAAACATTAGAGGGAAAAGTTTCCGTTCACTTTTCAGTAGCCTGTGAAAAAGGCATATTCTCACACACAAGTGAAAGGCTGTAGAGATGTCTTAAAGCCATAAAATGAAAGCAAGCCGCGAAAACAATTGTGCAGGCTTCTCGAAGAGTCTGAGACGCAGAGCGGCGGCACGACAAAAGTTTACCTTCGCGTTTGCTGCTCGACTGCACAGCTAAAGGCGCTTATCTTCGCAGCAAATTAAGTCGAGCGATTTACGCGCAGCTGTGTATGTAGACAAAGGCGCGCAGACACACACAATAAATTTGGAAATGTGAGCAGAAATTCACAGGCACTGATATTTTACCACACAGACGTATTTACGAATGCCTAGTAATGAGATTAGCGTTTCTTCCCAATTTTTATTTACCTTTCCTTCAGTCAGGCTTCGAAATGTCTGTGGCGTTGTGCGCAGAGTCAGTTGCATCGTTCTGCTGGAATTGTGTTGACTTTAGTTGTTGTTGTAGCTCCTCAGTCACAGTTTTTATGCGAGCTTACGACATAATTTGCATTCATGATGTCGGCTTAATTGCCGCAATTAGGCGCTGCGTTACGTTTTTATGGCGCGCTATTCATTTCTTACCTCGGCGCACAGCGCACTTGCTCCAGCCGTCACACGCTGCGGTGAGCGCCTTCCCTATGTCGTGCTATTGCCAAATGCGATGCTTATGATGTGGAAAATGCGCTGATAAACTTAATTGGCGTGCGTGTCGTATGAGTAACTTATCGATTATTGCGCCAACAAACACCACCACACCCACACATACATGTAGAACACATTTCTCTAGTTAATTGGAAACACGATTAAATTTTGATTACACATATGCACTAAATATTCATGCGACGTCAGTTGCAAGTGTCAGCTGGATGTTGCACACATTCACCTATATTTGCATGTAGTTAAATATTAAAACTATTGCACTTGCTGTGTCAACTTAATTATTTTAATAAATTAAATTTATTTAAATATTAACAGGATCTCGCACTGGCAGCCGGTGACCATGTCGCCGCAAACGACACGTTTTTGTGGCATTAGGCAGCTCATTTGTTGCAATTAGTCGACAAGTGTCAAAGCCACGCGCCACACAATATAATGAATATTTAACTAGCATTGAACAATAACCACAAGGCTAGTTGGTAAACATTTGCGCGATTACTTGCCACACATTCTCAATATTTTCCCGCAGTGGCGCGTTCAATCGCGAAGGCAATAAATGCCAAATAACATTAATAGGAAATGATGTTTTTCGGTTCTTTAATCAACCGGGGCCAACAGGGTTTTTGAATTTTTGTTTACCAAAATCATAAAAAGCGTTACTTACTGTCTAATAGGGATCCTTGCTTGAGTTTCAAAAGTTTAGAGCGAAACTTAACTTGATTCTTGCCTTTGAATTTGAATTAAAATATAAAAATGAACGACTACTCTTCAATTGTCTTCTCACCGGTATGAAAGAAGTATATACTTGTAAAATACTCAGATATTCATATTTAAACGCTCCGGAAGAACACCCAACAAAGTGTCTGATAGCAGTTGAGGCTTATTCAGAAAATTACTATAAAAATTTATAGGTAGTTTTAAATTATCACAGTTCCAGACGACGTTTTTTCACCCTCCCTGCTTCATGCAATGGCCATCTGAAATTCAGTTGTAGGTTTAACGGATATTCACAGCACCAGTCGTATGTGACATTGAAACGTTTCGTAAGTTAGCTGCCACATTCGTGATTGCATTTTGGCTGAGGCTTTTCACTCACATGTCATGGCTCCACGAGCGTTTAGCGTCGGTCTGAGGCTGTGTGAATGACAGACCGCTTGTCAGCTGCGCATTTGAAATGTTATACGCATGTGCAACAGCATATTAGATAAATATTTAAATAATGCAGAGACATGCACATATCGCTGCTTAATATCTAAAATATCTAATTACTTATCCGACTGAGTGCCAGGCAGATTCGGGCATTGTCGCTGGCTTCTGCAAACTCGTGTCCTGAATGTTCTTAACGACTGGAGTTGCAGCTCGTGGCAACCGTTGTTGCTCAGATTGCTTTTGTGTATTAATTTTTGGAATTAATTTACCTTGCAGCTCCTTGATAGTCCCACGCCCACCAACGCTCCTGTATCCTTTCACACACACACACACACACCCATCCATGTAGTGGGCGCATAATGGGTTAGTTATGTTGCCGGCAAGGAAAACTTCGTATCTGTGCATTACAGTGTTGGCCTAGTTATTATTTATTGTCGCCTCTGGCTCCTTGAAGGCGGCCCAACCAGCCAGCCATCCAGCCGACTGTGTGTATTTGTGTGTATGCAGTGCCGCCGCCATAACGCTGCGGTTTAATGAAGGAAATTATGCGATGGATGCAATGAATAAGCCTTTCCACTGTGTGTGTGTGTGCGTGTGGTGGTGTGTGCATAATGAATAAATTAAGGCGAATATAATTTTATGCTTACGACTGCGCTGTGAATTTTCTGATAATGACTGGATTATTATGAGATGCG